GCCCTCTCCGCTTCTCCCCTGCACCCCCTCGGTCCGCTCCCACCCCCGCTCCCCAAATCCTGTCCGTACAGGGGGTTCCCCTCGCCCCAGCCAATGCTGCCCCCACCCCACCACCCCCATCGGAGGGGTTGTGTTTTGTGTGAACTACAATCACGGGCTGCGGGATTTTTGCCCGGACAATGACGGAGGGGGATGAGGTGGGAGGCTTCTTTTTTTTTACCAGCGACAAAGACAATGTCGGCTTCTTTAATCAGAGCGAGCACGGGCCCCGTACCCTCTGTGCTTGTCGGTCTGTCCCTCATTTAAACTGCGTCACCCCGTCTGCGTGTGTGTGTGTGGTACTGACCCACGCCACCTCCATCCATCCCTCCCTCCCTCCGTCTCTCCATTCCTCCCTCTCTCCCTCCCCTCTCTCCCTCCCTCCCTCCTCGCTCCTTCCCTCGTGCGCTGTGCTAACCTTTTTTTTTACGATCAGTGGAAACAAGAAGATGCTCGTGCACGCTAACCGCACTTGCCCCAGCAGTCCGCTAAGACTGTACGGGGGAGTTTTGTCTTTGTTATGTGTGTGTGTCTCTTCGAGGGGGGGGGGGGCGGTAGGAGAAACGCCGCTGCGCTAGGAACCCCGCGGCCAGAGTTAGATTCCCGCCCACGGCAAACGCGTGTAACGATTATCATCTGAACCTTACTGCGCCTCCCCTTGTATGAGCACCTCGTGCGATGTATAAACATCGCCACTAGGGAGACAAAGGCGGCCCGGCGTGGTACTGGCGATCCACCCCTTTCGGGTGCCGTGCAGGCCTTCATAGGTGCTCGCTAACAGCACTTGCCCCAACAGCCTGTGAGAGGCTATACGGGGGACATTTGTCTTTGCACTCGTATGAATGAGTGACCCTTGTGTGGGTGCGCTCATATGAATGAGTGAATGAGTGCGTGCCCTGAATGGAGTAGCCGGGTCACACTTTGCGGTCGAGGAGGAGGAGGTCTTGACATTCTTGTGCCGGGGGTCTCGACCCAATTCCCACACAGCCCCCCCCCCTCCTCCTCTGAATCCAACTTCAAAACCCTCCCGCCTCCTTCACCTGCCCCACCTCCCACCTGTCCACCATCTCAAACAATCCCCAACTACCTCCTACACCACCACCACCACGCCAGCTTCGTCTCCCTGCCGGCTCTGCCGATACGTGGGGAACTCCGTAAAGTCCCAGGGAGAAAGGGGTTGCTTCGATTCGATGACAGGCCAGCCTTCGTGTCAGGAGGTTACATGACAGACGTTTGTTGGATGTCACGGCGGTGGGTGGGTTATAGCGCGTAAATATATAAATGTGTCGTTAAAACCCGACTCAGCCAACTAGTAAGGGTTGTCACGTAAACAGAACGTGGCCAATTCGTCACTAGTACAGCACACCGGTGTGTTGGGGAGCCAAGCCACAACATTTACAATCTGAGTACGACGTTTCGCCAGTAATTACAACTAGCTTCATCAGGCGACAGACAGATTTGTGGAGAAGTCCACCTGTTTCGTTCCTTATATAAAGGCGTAGATGTAGTGACCACGCTTCTGTGTTCTTCTCGCCACCACCTGACACAGCCAATTGTCACGTCGACTTAAAGTGCGAATTAAGTTACTACTTCACACAGGTGTGTTGCAGAGTAAACCCGCAACGTTTACAATTCGAGTACGAAGTTTCGCTGGTGATTTCAATCAGCTTCATCAGGCTAATTACCAGCGAAACGTCCCGACTCAAATTGTAAACGTTGTGGGTTTACTCTCCAACACACCGGAGTGCTGAAGTAGTATCTAAATTGGCTGCAGGTTTAACGACACATTTATATTTAATAAAAAAAACCCCTTCTAGATAAGATTGATCGCAAAAACCTGCTCGGTGTTAAACTGTCTATTCTTTACAACTTTACTCTCCAATCGCTTTTGACGAACAGTTAAGGTTATTATGTTTATTTTAACAAATGGCCTTCGGGTTATCTTATTAAATGTTTATACACGTTTATATTAACTTACTTTTAAATTAATGCGCGCATGAATTATCTTTTGAAATTAATTTAGATTTGATTTTTTTAAAGACTTGCAGAGGTGTTACCTTTGAACGATCATAAATTCGGTTTCGTCTCAATTCATTTGGATTGAGGTAATCTAACGGGAAGAAGAAAAATTGGTATTAGGAATGATAATAGATTAAATATCAACTTAAAAAATAAACAATACATTTTTTATAATGCCGGTGTTAAAATAAAATGAAATAACCATATGTGTGCCCGGATTTTTGGGCCACCCTTCTCTAGTCAACCTCTACCTGTTTACGTGTTCGTGTAGCTTAGCTTCATGATTTGTGCTGTGATCTGGACGTTATCAGCCAGAGCCGATTTTTTGCTGCGGGGATTTGAATATTAAACTTTTTTTTTCACTTAGTTTTTCGTTTACGTTTGTGCAATATTTCGATATCTCATGCGCGACAGCGTTGTTGTTGTTGCTGTTGTTATTTGTTCTGATTGCTCTTCGCTTCATAGCTGTACTTTCTTTTATTTGTTTTTAGCTTTTGTCATTTTTTTGGAGCGACCCGGGTCACGGCAGGCTATCATGGTCGCTTAAGTTCTCACCTGGTTCAACAAGATACACTTGAAACTTGAAACCCGGAGCGAGACACTTGGCAATGCTCACCTCTGCCGTGCACACGACCACAACAGCCAAAAGGCTTCCACGTGGTATCACCGAGTTTCCGTGGGACGGCCAAATCGAGTCAACAATAGTGGAAATATGCGTGGAGTGTGTGTGCGTGGTTGTGATCGTGTGCGTACGTGCTAGTGGTGGCGTAGCGGTTAGCGCGCTGACATCCGATTATCTGAAACGGTCCTGGGCCTCCCCTAGGTCGACTCAGCCTCAATTGAGGACCTGTTGTGGTGTGCAAACATCGCCGCTAGGGAGACAAAGGCGGCCGGGCGTGGTCCTGGCCACCCACCCCCTCGTGTGCCGTTCTGGCCTTCATAGGTGCTTGCTAACAGCGCTTGCTCCAACAGTTTGTTAAGGCTATACGGGGGATTTTTGTCTTTGTGTCGGCTCAATGTAGAGTGGTGGTGTAGCGGTTAGCGCTACGCTGCCCTACGAACCCGGCAAACCAAGTTCTATTCCCGGCTCACGACCAACATCAATGACGATTAATCTGAACCGGTGGTGGGCCTCCCCTAGGTCGACTCAACCTGAAATCAGTACCCGTTGCTGATATGTAAACATCAGCAACGGGGAGACAAAGGCGGCCGGGCGTGGTCCTGACCACCCACCCCCTCGTGTGCCGTGCCGGCCTGCATAGGTGATAGAGAGACACACACGCACACAGGCATCGTGCACAAAATTACACACAACACAGAGAGATACACAGACACACGCACATTCACGAACACGTTCACACCGTCACGTATGCACAAACATGTGCACGTGCACAAAGACTTACACAGACACACACACACGGAGAGATGCAGACGCGCGGCCACGTGGGAGACAAACGCGCGCACAAAAACAGACACACACATCGCGGAAGAACATACACAAAGCACACACACACACATCCACACACTAGCAGACACGCATAAACGCGCACACACAGATATCGCGTACACACACATACCCACACATGAACACATAGGCACAGAAATACAGTGAGACTCACATAAACACACATACACACACACACAGATACGCATAAAACACACACGAACACATAGGGACAGATATATACAGTGAGACCCACATAAACACACATACACACAGAGAGACACACACAGACACACAGAGAGACACACACATACACACACACAGAGACACACACAGATACAGATACACACAAACACACACAGATACCCACACACGAACACATAGGCACATATATACACAGTGAGACCCGTATAAACACACACACACACGGAGAGACACACACAGGCACACGAACACATTAGCGGCGAATCAAAGGAGCTCCTCCGTTAACACAACAAGCAAAATAAACGTGACAGCAACAAGGGGCCCGGATCCAGAATAGCAACCACAGCAGCTGGACAGGTGTAGCCTCGCTCCTACAGGTGCGCCTCCCCCCCACTGCCCCCTATGGAGGCAATGCGCATATCTTCTCAACTCCTACGAGATGCTACGGGTCGCAACCGATAACAGTGAGCGGAATTCCACGCGTGCAACGCGTTTACGATAAGGGATGATGGGTAACGAAATGACAGCCCCCTTTGTCGACCCGCTACTGGATGAAGGCGTTCCTCCACTCGTCGTGTCAGTGGTGGGAGCGGTGGAGTGGGGTTGGACTGAATTTCAGCACGCTGGTCAGGGCATGCGGATATCTGCGTGAGAGAAAAATTAACCCGTAAAAACAAAGTTTTTCACTATAAATCCTTTATATGCGTGACGGCTAGAGTCCTCTCGTCCTCTGGCTTGAGATGGCTGCCACCTACGGGTCAGATGATTGCCTGCCACCATTAAGCAATTGGTAATTAAACATTTTTTTTCCTAAAAAGTGTAAAATTTTGGATTTTTTTTCACGAAAATAAATTGTCACGCACAATGAGTCCGTGTGCAAAATGTCAACTCGATTGGATCACGGGAAGTGGGTTAAAAACGACCGAAAGATTTGCACGGTCGTAAGCGCGCAAGCAAGCAAGTGAACTTAATATAAAGGATTTTAAAAGAGCTTAATAGCTCATCGGATTCCTCCAGTATGAATAAAGATTCTGATTCTGACTTTGTCAGAGAGGGCGCGGGCAACCCTTGTATTAATTTGACCTCTTTTCTGTAGGAAGAAATTCCCCAAATTCCAACATAAGTGTATACTCAAGTTTCGTTCACATCGGGGGTCATCTTCACGAGACTTATCGTAAACGCCACGTTGCAGACAGACGACAGACGGACGCACTGGCAGCGGTAACCCATCGACGCCTGTCAATACAACTACAGAGGGAGCAGCGTGAGAGAGCGGCGCGAAAAAGCGACTCACGTCCTCCACGGATATTGGGAGCTGGGTCTCCTCCACCGTCACCGCCTCCAATCGTGACTCTCCCAGATCTTCCTCCTCCCGTTCATTCTCCTTCTCCGGATCCCCGAGGAGGCTGGTCTCTATCGCGGCCATGCGTGCGACGTAAACCGGCAGCCAAACCGACCCTCTTCGATCGTCACACTCGGAGCGAGATCTCATTCATACGCGCCGCGCTCTGTGCGCCACTGGAGTCCCTCGCCTTCTCCCCGACCCCATCGTCTCCTCCTCCTCCCTCCTCCTCTTCCTCTCGGCCACTCGGCAGCTCCAGCAGAACAGGGCCGTTCAGCGTGCTCACGCACCTGGGCAGCGAAGCGCACAGCTGCCCAGGGACGAGCACTCCGCCGCCTCCTCCTCTTACAATCGGCTCAAGCAGAACGGCTCTCGCGTGGAGATGATTGTCAAAGAAGACACCCACGCCTGTACCGAGACGCTTACGCCTGTCCAGGAACGCGCGCGCCTATGCAGTAGAGCGCACCACCTAGTCGGTGACACACACGCCTCTTCCGGCTCGGCCACTTAACGACATCAGAATGGTGGACTACACACTCGTCCAAGAAAGCTGGCCCTTCTGCTTAGAGGCTCACCCCTGTCTCTGTGCACACACCTGCCCAGGAAACGCTCTCACCCGTCCACGCACCGGGCACATCCAGCTGCGGCTCTCAGCTGCTCCGCACGCTCGAGTCGCGGAGCTGACGAATCTCACGTGTCCCCCTCCACCGTACGCGCGCGCGCACGCACGTGTGCGACACGCGGTGTCCTTTCACCCTCGCGGGTCACCCTGGCCGCGAGGATTGTCCACCCAGCGTTACCCTGGCGCGCTCCACCGCCAGCTCCGCGAGCCACCGAAGATGATGATAAAAAAACGACGACGCTGCTGCTGCTGCTGCTGCCTCTGCCGCCGCCGCTGTTGATGCGTAGATGAAGTGCGCGCGTCTTTGTGGCGCAGCGCGCGTGTGCGCGTGGGTGGGCCTCTCCTCCATCTCTTAAGAGAGACGCAACTCCCCTCCCACTCCCAACCCCCCACGCTGCAACGTCGCTCCCTCTCTCAGCCCGCGTGCCATAGTCCCCCCCCACCACCACCACACCATCTTATAGGCAGGGTGCGATCACCCACCCACTCCAAGCAATCACCGTATTAGATTGTCAGTGCATCACGACATTATTACACTGCCTATAATAGCGTACGTGACATTGTTCGTTTTACTCCCCCCCAGTTGTAATTCAATTGTGATCTCAGCCTTGCGTAAATGGGATGAGGTGTAAGCGCTGACGCCCGCCGAGCAAGCCCCCCCCCCCCCCCCCGCGTTGGAGCCCGTGGAAGGAGATATAACGGAACTACCTTTGAGATTCAATGCGCTACAACTGGGACTTCTCCTCCAGTCGAAATGTTTCTGATTCTGCCACTCGAGAACCTGGAACGATCACGGGCGGCCGAGACCCGAATTGAACACAAGATACAGTGCCGGATTATCCTCGTAGCAAAAGTAGCTACATATGCTACGGGCCCCCCCACTTTCAAGGGCCCCGCGCTAAATGCTTTCAAGCTATCAATTGCGTTCTAGATTTGAAGCTTTCGTGACTGCAAAGATTCATACTCTTAGGTTTTTTTCGGTAAAGTCACGTAGGTAAAAAAATAAACAATAAATAAATAATAAACCTAATAGAAATATTTTCAATTTTATTTTTCCTACGTGACTTTATCGAAAAAACCTAAGACTATCAATTCCGGTTCAGTGATTCTGCACTTGCTCTATTACTATAGTAATATACTGCCTTCAACTTTTATGAACGACCGGGTATTTAAGGTTAGCGATTTGTTGTATTATCTGGCTGTATAGCAAATGAAAAAATAAAAATGTACTTTGTAAGTAAAACAATTGTTTTCATATTTGAGTGTTTTTAGGGCCCCTTGATAACATATGCAACAGGCCCTGCACTGCCCAGATACTGTATCTGCCTTACCGCAACACCTCAATGCGCTGACCTCTTAACTACCTCCGTACCTTACAGATATAATCAATCTCGACCCGCAGCATGGCCATTATAATACTCGCTCTATTGCATACCCTGTAATGGCAACAATACTAACATTGCTCTCACGATGTATCCAGAACAATATTCATTATCATCAAGACTCTCGTTTCGGATTGGCCCTGTAGTGAGACGTTTGGCCAATATTTGTCTTCATAACGAACGCTTCGGCTTCATCTGGGTGGACAGCAGAGTCACCGGGGAGAACCAACCACCACGTGAAGGGACCATTCCAAAAATCCCGCATAAGTACTTTCGCGAACCCGCTTGCTGTACTGCCACCCCTCGGTCACCCCCGCACCTCAACCCAGCGGGGGGCTTTTGTTTGCTTGTTTGAGTTTCTAAAATCTTTGCGTGATCCATCAACCCCTTTCACTGCACGCCGGCCGGATCGCAGGCGTGGGCCAACCACGCACACCTTCGCATTGGATGAGCAATGTTCACACGCGGGACGATGCAACGCGAGTTGATCTGAGAGGGCATCACAGCGTGGTGGGACGCTCCGCCGCCTGGCGGTGGAGGGGAGAATTGCAGCGCTGCACCCCATCGCCCTCGCTCAGCGTTCTGCATCGCAAGACCCACCAGCTACTTGGCGGCCCCCTGGTAGCCTTGAGTGCCCCCCCCTCTCATCCCTCGGCAATACACAAGGAGTGACCCCCCCCCCCCCACCCTCGTCATCATCATCGTGCTGCTGTCAAACACCCCCCCAACCCCCCAATGGTTCATCTTCTTGGTTCTTTCGGTAAAGTCACGTAGAAGGGAAGTAATAAAATAATAAAAATAAAACATAATAATATATAAAACATAATAAAACATATATAAAACATAATAATATATAAAAATAAAACATAATAAAATAAAATAAAATATTTTATTATTTTATTTTATTATGTTTTATTTTTATTATTTTATTACTTCCCTTCTACGTGACTTTACCGAAAGAACCAAGAAGATGAATCCCTGCAGTCACGAAAGCTTTAAATCGAAATAAAATCCCCCAATGGTTTCAAATGTGGCGGCACCGCGCACACAACAACCGATTGACGTCGTATCGGCGAATTGTGGGGACTCCCCCGCCGCCGTCACCGCCCAGCCTCTGAACATGAGCCAAGGAAACTCGGCGCCCCTTGGCTCGAGCAGTGTCGCCTCATGGTGGAGGTGCTCGGGAGGGATGCGGGGCTCGCTGAACCGCGAGGTCAACACGACGTGACCCGCTGCGCGTTCACGGCCCAATGTCTCTCCATCTCCCTCCATCTCTCTCTCTCTCTGGGAGCGCGCACGATCGGCGGACGCACACGTACGGGCACGTGGCTCTGGCAGCAGCGGGGTTGCGATGTTGGCGCTCGGCGGGACCGAGCGATTTTGCGGGAGATCGTTTTTGTCTCCCTCTCGTCCACATGTGGGACCCACGACGCCGAACGCAACGAGCTGCAGCGCGGCGTGCGATACGAGAAGACGCGTTCGCCCCCTTGGTGGAAATGCAACGGGAGAGTGTTTGTGTCGAGACGTTCCAACGCCAAACGGATTGCCCCTTTTGCAAAGAATGCATGTGACTGCGTTAACCACCACACGCAGCACCTGTGGTGAACATGCAAACCAAACATCCATTAGGGTTTTTGGGGGTTAGATCGCGTAAATAAATGTGTCGTTAAAACCCGCCACCACCCGACAAAGCCAACTAGTCAGGGTTGTCACGTAAACGGAACGTGCCAATTCGTCACGAGTGCAGCACACCGGTGTGCTGGATGATATTGGTCGCGAAAGCATGCTCTGATGTGTGCATCGTCTTTGAAACCGATTGGCCTAGACCAGAGACGGCCTTTTTATGGCCTAGTCTCACCGGTGTCAAACCAGAGGACAACGCCAAAGTGCGAACAGTACAAAGACGATGCACCCATCAGAACATTCGTAGCAGTGCCGTACTCCCGTCAGGATATCTTTAACGACTACGGTGAAGCAGACAGCGCGTAGTAGTCCGAGTTAGCATCAGGGTGCACGGTTAATACACAGCGCAGTAATAACCAGGACGGCCCTTGGGGCGCGAACCGCGACCCTCTTTCTCGGCAACGAGCAGCGAAGGCGCTGTCGCTGGGCCACTCCGAGCGCTCACCTGTCACGCTTCTCAAAGCTGTTAGTCTGCTCACCTGTGCGGCTGCTCACTGCAATCGATTTCGCCCGAGTCCAAGCGCTCACCTGTTCGCGCGCTCGCCTGACTGCACCCTCAGCTACCAGCTTCCCTATACTCTTTGGTTCTCTCGGCAAAGTTCACGTAGGTAGAAAAATAATAGATCACGACGTTTCGATCGCAACACAAGCAATCGTCATCAGGTGGGACAACCACAGCAAGAAAAAACTGCAAGAAAAACTGCAAGAAAAACTGTAGTTTTTTCTACGCGACTTTACCGAAAAGAAAAAAACTTGTTTTTTGCTGTGGTTGTCCCACCTGATGACGATTGCTTGTGTTGCCATCGAAACGTCGTGATCTATAATTTTTCTACCTTCGTGACTTTACCGAAATAACCAAAGAGTATGGATTCCTGCAGTCACGAAAGCTTCAAATTAAGATTGTACCAGCTGACCTGTCAAGCCTCTCATGTTAACCCGCTCACCTGTTAGCCTGCTCGCACTCTCCGCCGCATGCCCTCTCGCTAAATAACTATCTCACCTGTCAGTCGGCTTACCCGTCCCTATTATGGCCAATTAGCCCACTCCATTGTTTAACCTCTCACCTGTCACCAATCATACCACCCACTTGCCAAGCCACTCACAGATGTCCCAACTCACCTATATCGACACACCTGTCAGCACCGTCAACCTGTCAACACCCATCACCCCCCTCCCCGCTCAACTCGCCAGCCCTCACCTGTCCGTGGTCTCACCTATCGTCTGATCGTCGTCACTACCGCCGCGAGGTGAAACGGAGAACGAGCAGCCTCAACCACGTGCCCGATATTGATCAGAGATCAGCGAGACGAAACACTCGCCACTACCCCCCCCCCCCCCCAATCATCGCTCCACACGCACTCCTCTCCCACCCACAAGCATAACAGAGAGATGGGCGGAGACACGAACGCGATTGATGACGCATGAATACGAGACCGGCGATGAACGTGCTGTTGGAGGCGATGGAACGAGGACCGATGACACCTTGACAACCCAGGACTTGTGTTTTCAATTAAATCGATCCCCCCCTCCCCCACTTCTCCCACCCCCTCCATGGACCCGTGTCCATTTCCAGAGCTCAGCCCCGGACAGCTCCGTCCGAAATAAAACCTCGATGACAATCCTAGACCCGGCGTCATCAATTTTTTTAACCCCCATCACGAGACGTTTTCGTTTCCAGTTTATTGGAGGGTTTCGTTTGAAATCACGAGATTCGTCCATGTGAAAGTAGACCACGCGTCACAATTCCGTCGCATGGGCCCTCGTCATGTTCACAACCTTGTTCACGGCGAAAGAGAAATAGTCCCATACAAGGCTGCATAATAAGTTAATACAATAAAAACTTTGATTACAAAATACAGGCACAGCATTTTTTTTTCTTTATCATGAAACACATTTAATCATGCAGTGGGAGCTGCTGGTTCGTTGGCTCCAGGGTTGAGGAGGCTACAAAAAACGCCACCTCGTGGCTTCCACTCTCAAGTTGATAACACCACGGCGCGCGTGGATTCATTGACAAGTGACACGCAAAAGGCAACGTTCGGTGGCGATGATGATGACGACGATGCCCCAAGTGCTGGGCTCGGGTCAGACCGGTTCCCCATGGGAAGCTGCGTGCACACGTCTGTGGCTCTCCGTGTTCAACGACGGAGCCGATGGGTGGTACATGTGCCAGTCTATGGCTCGAGATTTGAATACTGTGTATGGCTCTAGATTTGTGCGAGTATGGATCTCTGTGGGTCCGCGTGCGACTCTAGCGGGGAGCGGTAGTTGCAGTGGTGAGCACGTCGCGTTCCGAACCTGGCGACCGGGATCGATTTCCACTCGTGGCCAGCAATGGCGATTATCCGAACCGGTCCTTGGTATCCCCTAGAGCAGTGGTTCTTAACCTGGGGTGCAGAGATGCCCTTTCTGGGAGTGTGAGACGTGTCCAGATTTTGTTAGAAGGTAAATAATCGAAAACACAAATTAAGCACGAGCACATAAGAACAACAACTACTTTGTTTCATCAAATCCCTATGTATTAATATTATATATATTTGTGTTTACGATTGAGAACCAAAGGGATGTAAGGCTGCAGTAAAGGTTAAGCACCACTGCCCTAGGCCGACCGTCTTAAATTAGTACCTGGTGCAGTGTGTAAACATCACCGCTAGGGAGACAAAGGCGGCCGAGAATGAATCGTGCTGGCCACCCACCACCTCGTGTGCTGTGCCAGCCTTCACAGGTTCTTGCTAACAGTGTGTGAAGGCTGTCGGGGTGGGATCTGTGAGCTTCTATGGGTCTCCATTTCAGTCTGTGTGGGGCTTCCCAATGTGATAGAAACCACTGCCCAGGTGTCCACCCCTCCACACACGAGCCAGCCTGGCTGGAACACTGGGGGCGGCCTCTGCATTCCCTTTAAAACCTGGAGTGACGAACCACCGCAGTGAAAACCCACGGCAGAGGAATATGGCTTTAGGAAGAGTGACACACGGGTCCCCGCCCCCCCCTTACACGGTAAATGCGGTCCAAAAAAACAAAGGGTGCGCACAAAGCAAAACCACACTGCCATTCTCAGTGCAGCGCATGCACTGCGCACGCACACACAATATTGTCCCACGTCCGAACGCACCATGTACAGTGATTTCCAACCGCATAGTCCAGCACATTTTTTGGTAGGAGTAGGTTCGCCGCAGGCAAGTGAAATCGCACAAAAACGAAACCCTCATACGGCGGCGCCGCAAGTTGCAGGAAGAGGAAAGGGAGCGTAACAGATTTTTTTCGAAGCTCTGGTTTGAAAGAAGTCATCCCCCCCCCACCACCCACCCACCCACCCACCAACCCGAAACATCATTAACAAGTTTACCGTACTGCATAACGACCAAAAACTAAAAAAATCCCCTAAAATTCCCCCACACCATAAACACTTTCTTCATTCCAGCGGTCGACATTCAGGACTCAGAAAGCACAGTTTGTGTTCAGTCAATGGCGTCCAGGGCTTTACATCTCTCAATGAATTATTTTCCCGGGTCACTAGTAGACTGGAGCCTGTGGCACGTGACCAGTCGTACCCGCACTGCCATAGCGAGGAGGTACAACTGGATGTGGTGTGCCGGTTTGTGGAAAATATTTTCCAAGTTGCTGGAAGACTTGAGTAGGTGGGGTATTGATGTCACGTGTATAGCCGCAGCCACAACGGGAGGTATACTGGGTGTGGTGTGCCGGGCATACATTAATTTCTCCGACAGCGTCCATGCCTCGTTTGGTGAACACTGGCCACTCTGGCACGAACATTTTATAAAATCACAGCTCCTTTCTCTTGTTTCAACTATAAAAAAAAACTTAAAAACAAGAGTCTCCGATTAAAAATGTATCAACACCGTTTGTGAATTTGTTTTAAAATAATTATTTCGTAAAAACAAAAAGTCATGGATTGAAATGACCGACTACTGTCCACGTTGTCCAATCTCGTCTCCGCCATCATGGTTTGTGTCTCGGTCACCGGTACGTTCCAAAAAAATAAAAAAAGAGACCACTTGCAGGATCGAGACACAACGTGGGCGCGGGGATTGTTCCATCTTCGCCGTGAAGTGCCGCTCACTCGCTCGCGTCCACATCCCCGCTTCACGTTGTCCATCCCGGGCGATTAAAACCAGTTTAATAGAAAAAAACACCATCAAGTCCACCGTAGCCGTACGAAGCGTCGTGATGAACAGCGAGGGCGCCAGAAGATGGTGGCGGTGGTACCGGTGAAGCCGTCACCTCGTGGCACCACAGGAAGCTGTCCCAGGCCTGCAGAAGTGAAGAACACAGCAGCAATGAGCACAAGCACAAGTAGACCCAGCCGTCTCTCCTATTACCACGTGACGTGGCAGTTGGCATGGCGTCCAAATGCGACCGCCATCTCAAGCAGCGGTTACAGGCTACGTACGATGCGAAAGTTCAATATACATGCATATAAAACACACGTGGTGACGCATTGGCACCTACGAAGCCACGGGGGCGGGCGGGGCGGGGGATCTCTATATCCTGACACGGATAGTAGAGGGAGGAGTGTCCCTTTGTGAAGTTGTTGCAGTCTCTCTCACAGGGTCCCTTTAAGGGTGCAGTGCGATTGGTGTTCATCACCATTGTCATTATCGTCAGAGATCTCCCAAATGTTTTATCCCAGCCTGAAATAATTATTTGTCTGTTAACGGGACCTTTTGCTCGCTTGTCACGGACCTCTCCTCCTATGTCAGGACACAGACATTCCCATCATCCCCCCCCCCCTCGTGCGTGCGTACGCGCATGCTCGATTGCAAAGCTGCATGCACCGAAATGCAAGGAATTGACAAATCCATCCCAAGTTCCACCGCAGTAAACTTAATGCAAACGAAATGCAGAGTTCACCAAACTCAAACCCTGGTCGCTTCAGGTCTGCTCCCCAGCGTCAAGCCTTTCATGCCCACCCATCTTTATTAATTTTATACAAAACGAATAAAGAAAGACCCATATAATAGTTTTATACAATTGCCTCCATGGATAAGATGCGATTCGAGTGCACACTACACACCGGGGAGATGCATATATATATATATACACACACACACCTCGTGGAGGCCCAGGACCGGATCAGATAATCGTCACTGGCGTTGGCCGCGTGCGGGAATCTAACTCGAGTTGCCGGGTTCGTAGCGCAGCATGCTAACCGCTACACTACCGCCACAACAACCACCGCTACCCAACTTCACCACCACTGTAGCGACCACAACCAGCAGCAGCACCAGCACCACCACCACCACCACAAGCCGCAAGCATGAGAGAGGAGCAACGGGGATCGACAGCCACTGACCTGTCCTCGCTACTTCATCGCCTCGCACAGCACCTACAGGGTAAGCAGCAAGCACAACACCTCGGTGAGATTCATCGCGACGCGACACGGCGACCAATTTTTATAGCGGCGACTGCACTTGACGGGAGTCTTGGCGACGCCCGGGAGAGGCGGGAGACATCGTTACACGATCGCCCGCGACGCTGAATCAACGGTTCAGAGCGCGGACTGCCTGCAACCAACTCCGTACCAGCCTATGTGGTCAGCTACAGCCGATCTATATTTAATCACATTAATCATGTACAGGATCTCATCGGATCATTAAAGACCTTCAATAAACTTTTGTTACGACAACAAAAGTGTCAAAATTTTGCTCGCTTTACAACGTTCCTCCACCTGCTCCAGTTTTGCAAAAAAAATCAAATCAATGATCACATTTTCCCATGACGTGCCAGGTGGTGGAGAGGTTAAATAAAAAAATTGAGACAACACGATCAAAACCAAATTCAACTAATTACGATTCAAAACGCTGGCGACCTGAAAGCTGACGTTTACAATTATCTGTACGACGCAGTACGACGAACGCCACTGACCTCTTCCAGGTCGCGCGAATCCCTCGCGTTCAACCCCACGATGACCTCGCAGCCGTGACCCCAGGCTGCGTCGACGGAGACCCCCTCGGGGGGGTCAGGGACCTCCCCCCCGCCCAGGGAGGCGGGGGCCCCGCTCGCGGCCTCGGCGTCCGTGGTGGCGCAGAGCGTCCCGCTGCTGCCGTCCGTCTCCACGCAGCCCGGCGCTGGCGAACACACGCAGAGCGCGAGCGTCAACTCTTGTATATTTAGTATACTGATGATACTATGTAGTTTATACTATAGTTGTTTACGTGGTGGTTTAGTTACTGCAGCTACATACTAGTAACATTCCTTCCCTTTATAAATGTTACCCCTATCCCCTCCCTTTGATGCTGCTAATCCTGCATAATGCACGGGCATAATGACATTAAACCCCCCACCAAACCTCCTACGCATTTCACAAGTAGTACTAATCGCATATCTGCATTTGCCATGAATATGCTAAATTACTCTTGATATGCAAATTATTTTGTCAAGGCGCTCTTCTCCCCCCTCCATCCCAGCTTAAATAGTCGCTCCAAGCCTGGGGTGTGTCATTCAGATTCTGTCTACTCGACAGACCTGTTATCCACCTGAGGACGGCTGCTTGCGTTGTGGCCGAAACGTCGTGAGAATTATTTTATTATGTTTTATTTGTACTATTTTATCATTTCCATTCTACGTGACTTTACCGAAAGAACCAATAAGACGTCAACTCTCCGTTCGCCAGGCGAGCGAGCCCGCTCTGGCGCCCGGGGTCGTGCGGTGGGGGGGGGGGGGCCCGTTCTGCCGGGGGTCGAGCTTCTTCGGTTTCCTCAATTTCACGCTCGTGACGAAGCTCTCGGCGCACGTTGGAGCGAAACGGACATCTCGCGCCGGGCAACAAACTCGCAAAAACTCGATCGGAGTAGAGAGCCATACGGCGCAACCGTGAAAAACCTTACGCGGTGAAATCGTTGATTCTCTACCACCCTCGAAATGTTAAAGGCTCATCACAGTTTGGGGGAGTCATAGTATGATGCGAGGATCTTTCTTTTGCCACTGTGTTGTGAAGATGAATCTACCCAGACACTGGAGGGGGGGGGGGGGAGGTGGGGTTCGCCTGAGCCAACCTCGTATGACACTCCTCCATTTTATAGATCCTCGGCAAAGAATATTCAATAAAAGCATAAAAATCGCTTCTCACACAGAATTTTACGCATTTATCAGAAGTGTACAAATCAATATTAACTGATGAATCGATGCACAATCACACATCTAATAAAGAGTCGCCCCTACCTTGAGAGATGGACACAGACAGTAATACTGTCTATCCATCCGTCACCTGTTTACATGTCTGCTTATCTCCCCAATATGTCTACCTAGTCCACCTGTTCACCTGTCCACCTGTGCACCTGTCCACCTGCACAGGCAGTGCCCCCTCCCGCGCCGCGCCGCCTCGTACCTGCGGTGCCGGAGCGAGGTGCCGCGTGAATCTGTCCGTGCGTCTCCTCCTCGGCCTGCGCGTCTCGGCTCCCTGGGCGCCTCCAGGAGGCTGTCCTGGCCGCTCCCACGCGGCGTCTGAAGAGAGAGCGCGAGCAGCCAGCGCCGGCGCATGGAACGCGGTCACGCGATGCACGCGACGCACACGACGGATCTCCACACACGCAGTACCCACGGAACGTTAGCGCAGCGGACACGGAACAAGGTGACGCCTGCCGACGAACGCAACGGAACGCGTGCGCGATTTTTAAAATGTATTGTTGTTTGGGGGGCAACTCTTCTGCCGAGGCGAGGAGGGGAAAGAGGCCCGGTACCTTTTGCTCCCCGACTGCCGAGAGTCAGCCCCTCAGAGCCCTGCTCCGCCATGTCCGAGAGTCCAGAGTCCAGGCTGTCTCTCTTCGTCTGAGAGTCACCTGTGAGCGAGAGAGAGCGAGAGAGTGCATGAGAGTGAGTGAGTGTGAGAGAGAGAGTGAGCGAGTGTGAGAGAGAGAGTGAGCGAGTGTGAGAGAGAGAGTGAGCGAGTGTGAGAGAGAGAGTGAGCGAGTGTGAGAGAGAGAGTGAGCGAGTGTGAGAGAGAGAGCGAGCGAGTGTGAGAGAGCGAGCGAGTGTGAGAGAGCGAGCGAGTGTGAGAGAGCGAGCGAGTGTGAGAGAGCGAGCGAGTGTGAGAGAGCGAGCGAGCGTGAGAGAGAGAGCGAGCGAGCGAGAGAGAGAGAGCGAGCGAGCGTGAGAGAGAGCGAGCGAGCGTGAGAGAGAGAGCGAGCGAGCGTGAGAGAGAGAGCGAGCGAGCGTGAGAGAGAGAGCGAGCGAGCGTGAGAAGAGAGCGAGCGAGCGTGAGAGAGAGCGAGCGAGCGTGAGAGAGAGCGCGCGAGCGTGAGAGAGCGAGCGAGCGAGCGTGAGAGAGAGAGCGAGCGAGCGTGAGAGAGAGAGCGAGCGAGCGTGAGAGAGAGAGCGAGCGAGCGTGAGAGAGAGCGAGCGAGCGTGAGAGAGAGAGCGAGCGAGCGTGAGAGAGAGAGCGAGCGAGCGTAGAGAGAGAGCGAGCGAGCGTGAGAGAGAGAGCGAGCGAGCGTGAGAGAGAGAGCGAGCGAGCGTGAGAGAGAGAGCGAGCGAGCGTGAGAGAGAGAGAGCGAGCGAGCGTGAGAGAGAGAGAGAGCGAGCGAGCGTGAGAGAGAGCGGAGAGCGAGCGAGCGTGAGAGAGAGAGCGAGCGAGCGTGAGAGAGAGAGCGAGCGTGAGAGAGAGAGCGAGCGAGCGAGAGAGAGCGAGCGAGCGTGAGAGAGAGAGCGAGCGAGCGTGAGAGAGCGAGCGAGAGAGAGCGAGCGTGAGAGAGCGAGCGTGAGAGAGCGAGCGTGAGAGAGCGAGCGTGAGAGAGCGAGCGTGAGAGAGCGAGCGTGAGAGAGCGAGCGTGAGAGAGCGAGCGTGAGAGAGCGAGCGTGAGAGAGCGAGCGAGTAAGAGTGTAAGTGGGGGAGTGTAAAATGTGTAAGAGTGTGTGCGAGTGTAAGAGTGCATGTAAGCATGAGCAAGTAGAGTGGGCGAGTGTGTAAGAGGGCGATTGAGGGGGGAAGTATGCCAATCAGTGAGCATGAGTTTGAGTGAGAGAGCGCGAGTGCGGAAGATTCTGAGCGAGTGGAATGGTGTGGTGAGCACAAGGGAGTGCGCATATCTGTGCGCGAGTGTGCATGCGTATTTTAAGGACAAAATTAGGTAAATGACGATTCTGACATTAGCATCGTCATTACGGTGAAACATTCCTGTGAAGAATGTTGATGGTCATCATAATTTAGATACTATTTAGCGATGACGACGATATTAGTAACGATGCAATGATGATGGTGATATCGATGCCGAATGATGGTCCTCATCTACGATAGAGCGTGCTGCTGACAATGACGATCATAACTTACATTGTAGCAATCACAATGACTGCTACAATGTCAATAATTATCAGGGGCGTATCAATGGTGATGTTGACGATAAAGTTCATTGTGATGACGAAGAACATTTTGACGATGGCGAGGATGATGGTGATCATGATGATAGTTACATTGTTACTGTTTACGATGACCATGATGATGACAGCTGCACGAATGGTGACCACAAAACGATGCCGAGGAATAACAGCGCCGACGATGACGATGTTGTTGTTGTTGCTGCTTCATTGTTCATTGCTACGAGATGCTCATGTCAACAGTGGGGGTTAGCACCGATGACGATGTCGCCAATAAACGATGGTGACAACGATCGTGATGACGATCGTGATGATGCGAAATGGCGGCGACGACGCTGATGGCACCTACTGTCAGACGAGGCGGTGGAGGAGGAGGAGGCGCCGCTGCAGCGGTACCCGGGCTTGATGAAGGACAGCACGTCGGCCAGGCTCTGCGTGACCGTCACACCGACGCGCGAGCCGCGTGAGCGACACCGGCCGCCTGACGACTTCATTCCCGACAAACGCGCGTCGCGTCGGGCGCTGCCGGGGGTGACGGCCGGGGCGGTGGCGGATCTGACCAGGCCCGCCGAGCCGCGCCCTCCGCCGTCTCCGGACTCGATGCCCGAGGATCGGCAGGAGCCTCCGGCCGTGCGCTCCGAGAGGCTCTTCTCCAGGCCGCGCTCCTCCTCCTCCTCCCGCAGCCTCGTGGCCTTCTCCAGGAGCTCTGGGATGTCAGTGCCTGGGGGGGGGGGGGGCACGCGAGAGCCGCGCGTCCGTTTGATCCTCGGTCCGTACAGGCGGCGCTCCTACCCCCTCCTGCTTAGGGCTCCCCCGCTGTGACAAAAAGCTTCATGGCTCATCGGATTCCTCCAGTATGAATTAAATATTCGGATTCCGATTCAGTTGGCCCGGTCTCCTTCCTCCACCTCTCACTCCGGCGGCAACTGGTCAAGTCCCCGTCTCTCCAGCTCATCTCCGCTCTTCCCCATGTTCCTGTAATCTCGGTTTGTAACACTCCGTTTGCAACGATTCCCCCCCTCATTGCGCACCACAAGACCATAACGTCTCAGTCTCGCTTTGGTCGACGATACTTCGTACCACTGGTTCCCCACCGCCGATGCCCTTTCACCTCTATTTTCTATTTCTCATTATTCCACTCACTCGTTCGTACAGGCAACGGGTGAAACGATACAGCCGGGAGGGTGCCATGTTTGTGTCTAGAATGAGTCCTGGCTGCTACGCACCTCTGATGAGCACGGTTAGCTACGTACAGTGCGAATTAAGTTCAACATCCCGTACAATTCTGGCAAAAATCGCCCGATGAAGCTGGTTGTAATTACCAACTTCATGGTTTTCTCAAATTGTAAATGTTTTGTATTTACTCTCCAACACATCGGTGGGTGCCGAAGTAGTAACTAAATTGGGCTGTGTTGGGTGGCGGTGGGGCAAATGACACATTTACGCTTATGCGATCTAACCCCCCAAAAAAAAGTAATTACGAATACACACGCACGCACCGCCGCTACGAACCGCCGCTGCCGCGTACGTACCAGGCGCACGCCGACACGCTGCGGCCAGGCCCTGGCAGCTGCATGCATTTCCACAGGAACTGGATCCAGACAGCGCGCTGCTCACCCGACGCGGCGGCCTGCACGCACGGCACACGGAGAGACGCCCTCGTCATCGTTTTCGTAAACACACCTCGCGGTAATCGTTGCCATCAAACGCACACACACACACAAGGTGATGATGTAATGCGATTGGGGTGACGCAAAGGTGACGGTACGAGGATGGCGCAATGGTGATGACACGTGTGATAGTAATAATGGTGCGGTGATGATAACAGGTATGATGATGATGACAGGTTTAACGATGACGATGATAGGCGTGATGTCGTGATGACGGCTGTGATGTCGATAATGATGTCGATGATGATGGCGATGACACAGTCGAAGGTGGTGTCCCTCTCGTACCAAGATGATGACCTTGCCAGAGCTGAGCACCACCTGAAACACGTGCTCGCGGTTCAGCGTGTTGAGTTCCCGCACCGACTGCACCTGCACGGCACGGAACCAGCGTCCGGATCAGAACAAAGCTCCCAGAGCACGGTCCCTTGGCATCGCCGGCAACCAGCGATGGGTCCAATTTACAAGTAGCTTGACCTTGCCTCGCCACTCGTGGTGGCCAAGAATCGGGTAATCGTTTTTTTAATGAATCGATCTACAATTCTCGAAAGTCAGGAATCAGCAATCGAATCACAGCGATAAATGAATGCACCGATTCGGCACACGCAAAAGGGTACACACCACACGGCGGCAGGCCCAAGTCACCGGGGTGCTACTTTTGCTCTCGTTCAGTTAAAAGGTCAAATAGGTACGGCCCTGAAATGTCTCGCTCACGCTTACTGCTGGCAGACGTGCCCCCACGATAGTGATCCCGTCAGGTGTGACAGGAGAATACCCACAGCTCACCCCACCACGTGCGGCATCCCCATCGACTGGCTGTGGCTGTACCCATTTACACCACTGCCGGGCGGACGGGGCTGGCGGGGGGAAGGGGACAGAGCGCTGTGCGCAGGGCTTCGCCTGCCACGCCGGGAGATTGAACCGGTTAGCGGCCGCTGGCCTGCAAGGCCGGTGTGTGGTGACGTTGACGCAACCACCATGGCCGGCGCCGCCTCTACGGTGCAAGCGCGCGAACGCACGGCGGGCTCCCGTCCCACACAGACACATGCGCGAGCTCTCACACACACACCACTTACCGAATGAACGTCCACTCTCCCTCGGGGCTGAAGGGAGGTGAGAGAGGGTGGATGGGGGGGGGGGGGTTGGAAAAATGGGCAGGGGTGGCAGAACGAGGAGATTAATTGCCGGAGTAATAAATCACATCACATCGTCGTCCTTGTCACCACCAGGCACGTGAACAAGGGGACGTGAGCTGCATCGTGTTGGCTCACTGAGCGACCGCACCCCCCCCCCCCCCTCGAGCGGAGCCTGCAGAGGCAACGCCTGCAAAGCTGCAGTGCCCCGCCGGTACTGGGACTGGGAACTGCAGCAGCGAGCGCCAAGGGCAAGGGGGGGGCAGCGACGGAGAAGGGAACGAAGCGGCATGTTCTAACGTGGGAGAGGGAGGCGGGGTATTAGGGGGGGGGGGGTGCAACTCGCCAAATGGCGCAGCGAGCAAACCACCACCCCCCCCCCCCCAACTCGAACGAGTCAACTGGTCACCAACATTATTCCTCCCAGATTTGAAGCTTTCGTGACTGCAAGGATTCACACTCGTAGTTTTTTCGGTAAAGTCACGTAGGTAAAATGTTTAAATTAAAATTAATAAAAATAAAATAATAAAAAAGCACGACGTTTCGGAGGCAACACAAGTCTCCGTCATCAGGTGGGACCGTCACAGCCAGATTTGATATAGCAAATCTGGCTGTGACGGTCCCACCTGATGACGGAGACTTGTGTTGCCTCTGAAACGTCGTGATTTTTTATTCTTTTATTTTTATTTCAATTTTTTACCTATGTGACTTTACCGAAAAAACTAAGAGTATTTTTCCTCCCGTTTGACCCGAACCGTAATCGCCGAGCCAAGCGGCCACTGGTAGCGGTCACAACAAAAAGGTAGCCTCTAGCTGCTCACCGCGAGCTATAAATGCTCCGATGCGTGTGGCATTGCCCTTGTACTGTTCGCGTTTTGGCGTTGGTTCTCTGGTCTGACATTGGTGAGACGAAGCCATAGAAAAGGCAGTCGCTGGTGGTATAGGTCAATCAGTTTCAAAGACAATGCCCATATATTATCAGAGCATCTTTTGTTTGCATGCTCACTGCAAGGACTGTGCGTGGTTAATGTAGATTTGATTTCTCGCAAAAGGTTTCTCTATTTGGCGTTTAAACATCTGAACACGACTCCTGTTTTATTGCCAGAAAGGGTTCAGTCTCATTTTTCATAGCAGTCATTTAATTTGGCTGAAGTAGCCAGAACACAGTTTAGAGATCTCTGAAGCAATGGTGGTGTTATTAATGATGATGGCGGTGGAATTAATATTGGTAGTGGTGGTGGTGGTGTTCGTTCTTTCTTTGTGTAAGTTGGTGCTGTTGTTGATAGTGTTGTTGTTGGTGATAGTGGTTGTGGGGAGCAGTAGTGTAGTGGTTAGCGCACTGCGCTACGAACTGATGATTATCAGGTCCTGGGCCTCCGCCCTAGATCGACTCAGCCTGAAAGGAGTAGCTGGTGCGGTGTGTAAAAACATCGCCGCTGGGGAGAAAAAGGCGGTCAAACGTGGCGTTGGCCACCCACCCCTTCGTATGCCCGTGCCGGCCTTCATTAGGTGCTCGCGAACAGCACTTGCCACAACTGGTCTGTTTAGGCTATACGGGGGGAATCGTTGTCTTTGGTGTTGTTGTGTTCACTCACCATGGGGCTGTCTCTGCTGGGGTAGTAACACAACGAGCTGTTCCTCAGCACGAACCAGTAGCGCCGCCAGTGGAAACGCTGAGGTCAGAGGGGGAGGGAAGGGGGGGACAAGGTCCACACATACGGGTAAGCGATCCGATAACTGTGACAATCACCAGCAGCAACACCATCCATACTCCTATTGTGCCGGTCACATCAGAGCCTGTGAATATGAACCTGTTCAGCCTCTTTCTTGCCAATCCAGTCATGGACAAGTGCCCCACACCACCCCATAAGATGGGTCATGCGGGTTATTTGACCATACTTCACCACGCTGGTTCATGCGAGCTGGTGAAAGCGGGGAGTGTGGATGTCGGGGACATGGAAGCAGGCCCGCAGCAGCCTATAGCAACCGGTTTGTGTGCGGCGGTCACGCACCCATCTAACGATCTATCCAGGCTCAATCCTGTTTTAGTTTCGGGGATCTTACGGGGTCTGGTGAGAAATCTGGAGCATGCCTGGATGGATTTGGTCATTTGTGATCAGAAAGGAACCCCGGAACTGACCGTCATTCAAAATGTTGCCACTTGCAACACTGACACATGACATCCACTGGATGATGATGATGCCATGTGGTTATAAATGTCCACTCAAAATACACACACACACACAGTGCCGCCCTACAGACTGTTTGGGCAAGTTTTGTTGCGTGAGCGTGCTCGTCAAGGCCGGCGCGGCGCACTGGGTATAGATAGCAGTGGTCCATCATCACACCAGGCCGCCTTTGTCTCACCTAGTGCGGACAATCACGGCCCCCGCAAGAGATGCTCGTCAAGGGCCGGCTGAATCAACCCAGAGGCCGACTCGCTGACAGACTTGGTTCAGGTCATCACTTGCCACGGACGTTGGCCTTGTCCGGTGAATCGAACTCGGGTTGCATGCTTCGCATACCTCTGCGCACAGTAGGAGGGTAGCGCATACCTGGGGCCATGCAGGTGCTTTGGATGTTCCTCTTGCATCACCACGACTAACTTCCTCATTTGAGGGACTTGCTGGAAACAAATTGTATGGCCTACATTATAAGTGTGTTAGTATAACCCATGCTAGGTGTGTGTGTGTATATACGTGAAGGGTAGTGGAGCGGTTGGCGTGCTGCGCTTACAAACCCAGCGAACAGAGTTCGATTCCCACCTTAGAAACAAAACCACGTGACGATTATTTGAACTGGTCCTGCGCCTGCCCTCGGTCGACACAGCCTCAAATGAGTACCTGGTGCGGTTTGTAAAATCATCACCACTGGGGTTTTTCAATTATACAAAATCTTCACCTCGCAATTAGCCAAACCTTGAACCTTTTAATAGACAGATTTATTTTAAAAATGTACTCATCCACTTAATCTGCATAGGTCTCAACAGAAGGCCTAATTTAGGCAAATTAAATGCTGCGGGTTGTCCAGTGTGCGTTTCCCAATGTCCCATCATTGGGATCGTTGCTGTTCAAGTCACCTCGTACTACAAATGCGAAGATGACAAATACATACATAAACAAATTCGGGGTTCTTTTACTGTAATCAACAGCAAAGCATATATGTGTAGTGGCATAGCACTGGCTGCTGGCAGAAAAGGGGATCTGCGGGGTACTGAAGCCCTGACGTCAGCAGGCCAGGATATACACGAGAGGGGGATCTAGGGGAAAGGTCACGGAAGGGGCCCACCAGAAACCCGCCGGTAGGTTCCAGAAAGGGGGCGTGACCGGAGCGAGGCCACGCAGACGGTGGAAGAGGGGCCCCCTGTGGGGGACCTCGGGACTGCTGTTGTGCTGCTAAAGTCCTTTTTAAATCCTTTATATTAAGTTCACTTGCTTGCTTGCGCGCTTACGACCGTGCAAATCTTTCGGTCGTTTATTTACCCACTTCCCGTGATCCAATCGAGCTGACATTTTGCACAGACTCGTTGTGCGTGACAATTAATTTTCGTGAATTTTTTTTTCTAAAATTTTACACTTTTTAGGATTTTTTTTTTATATGTAAGTACCAATTGCTTAATGGTGGCAAGCAATCATCTGACCCATAGGTGGCAGCCATCTCAAGCCAGAGGACGAGAGGACTCTAGCCGCCACGCGTATAAAGGATTTATAGTGAAAAACTTTGTTTTTACGGGTTAATTTTTTCTCGTCGTCTTCACCGTTCTTTTCCTCACCGTCGTCCCTACCATCTCGGGGAGCCACCAGTCAGGCGGCCTACCGACTGGCCTGAGTAACGTTGCCGGCAATAGACGGCCTAATTATTCAGAGCGTTAGCCCCGATGGTGCTTGTTAATAAAGAAGTGCCTCCAAGTCTTATCGTCTCTGAGATAGTCACGACAAATGTATTTGAAGTTTGTTTTGGTAGAACGGCATTCTTCAGAAAATAATCTCCAGTCTATTATGAGCCAGCAGTCAAACCCGCCACTCCGCTTAGCTCCGTCCGTCTTTGTCCCTCTGTATCTCTTTGTCTCCGTGATTCTGTGTTCACGATTGTGCGCGTGTCTGATGGTCCATCTCTATATTTCTCTCTCCCACCTCAGCAGGTGTTGTGACACCCCTCAGCTACACACATATACACACACAAAGATAAAGATCCCCCGTATAGCCTTAACAGACTGTAGGGGCAAGTGCTGTTAGTGAGCACCTATGAAGGCCGGCACGGCACACGAGGGGGTGGGTGGCCAACACCACGCCCGGCCGCCTTTGTCTCCCTAGCAGCGATGTTTACACATCGCACCAGGTACTCATTTTAGGCTGAGTCGACCTAGGGGAGGCCCGGGACCGGTTCAGATAATCGTCACTGGTGTTGGCCGTGAGCGGGAATCGAACTCGGGTCGCCGGGTTCGTAGCGCAGCGCGCTAACCGCTACACTACCGCTCCCCACACACACAGTCAGTCACACAGCTCCGGCTTTAGCCATCCTGGCATCCGACCCACCGAATCCAGCCTTGCCGGTTTGACACCCGCTCAGGGCCACCATGGACCCAGGCCCGCACACGGAACAGCCACGGGCAGGAGGATGACTCGAGAAGTATAATTATCAGTGGCATAACAAACATGCGGTGCGTGTGGTGTGCGCGCCTTGATTAGGATTCCCCCTTTCAAATCGGGGGAGGGCAGCGGGGGTGGTGCGGTAAATCACAGGGCGCGAGCGTTGGCGATAGCGTCACGTCAGACATGCACACAGCACGAACGGCTGTGGCGCTGCAATTATTTAAGAAGAAAAAAAACGCAGAATAAATCTATTAATAACACTGCGGCATGAAAAGGAAAAAATACATTACACCCTTCTGCATAGCACATGACAGCGGACCAGTGAAGCGCCATGTGCCGTGATGAAGGGCAATTGCCCGAAACGTCGCCTCGTGTATTAACATTTCCTTTAAAGGCCAGAGTCTTGTTGTTGACGAAAGCATCGAGGTTGGGTTTTTTTTTGGGTTAGTTGTGCTCGCATACACCACTGCCCGCATACACCACTGCCAAGGCAATAGCAGCAGCAGCAGCATCGCCACCAAATATAATCTGCAAATGCATCAATCACGCTCGGTGTCGTGTCACGCTTTGTTTTCGTCAAGTCGTCAAATACCTTTATTTTATGCGCACGCTGAACTTCTTTCACGCCGTATGTAGCCAACCGTGCTAATCGGAGGTGCGGGAAATACCGTCAATGGGAGGGTACAATTTACTCAAGAAAATGTACCGATGATAAAAACAAACTAAAAAATAATATTTTTCAGGCGTGTCCTGCCATGTAATGTCTGCCTATTTTCACGTGTTTTTTTCTGAGATAAAAATGGTGTGTTTTGGTAGGAGCACGGATGCCTGGAGAAACCCCCACGCACTCAAACTCCTCACCAAGGAAGGGGCCTTCCACTCGAGGGAGCTCTAGAGAGCCCCGCTAGAGGGTATGTAAAATAAAAATTATTTTTTTTATTTTACCAGGTAAGGCCCACCCCCGCGCTATATAGCTCTTTTGCAGAAGCGACCTGGCCACACATAATAGCTCAATTTAGTGGCTTAGTACGTGGAAATGTCTAGCAGCCAAATACTCTCAACGCGTATTTCTAAGTGTGGAGGGAAAAACCGGAGGACCCGGGAGAAACATCCACGCGACCACGGGGAGAACAGGCAAACTCCGAATATACAGGAACCAGGGTCGGGATCGAACCCACGGAACCCCTGAATACCAGGCGAGGGAGTTAACATCCCGTCCACCGTGGCAGGCACCCAATGTAGCAGGAGACTGATGGGAAAAACATACTGTAGATTAAAATGAGGCGTTAATGGCTAAACTAAAATGTTTTTTTCTTCTTGGTTCTTTTGGTAAAGTCACGTAGAAGGGAAATAATAAAATAATAAAAATAAAACATTATATTATTTCCCTTCTACGTGACTTTACCGAAAGAACCAAGAAGATGAATCCCTGCAGTCACGAAAGCTTTAAATCGAAAAATAAAATGTGTTTAATAGACATTTCTTAATCCCTTCTATTCCCTTTCGGTGAAGCGTGTGGCAGAAAGACGAAGGTCACCCATATAGCCTTGACAGGGTTTTGGAGCAAGTGCCATCGAGAGCACTTCAAGGCCGGCATGGTACACGAGGGTTTGTGGGTGGACAGCACCACGCCCAGACCCTGTGGCGATGTTTACTACACACCACACCAGGTACTCGTTTGAGGAGGCCACGTGACACACGGCACACAAGCGCACGCACGCACACACAAGCGTGGTACGAGCACACACACGCGCATGGCACGGGCAGCTGGACAAATGGGGTACCTACCCGAGACACGAGGTAATTTAAACGGCTTTGCTGTAGGAAAAACACAAAGATGGGCAAAAGGATAAAACGACAACAAACCACAAAGATTACCAGGTGTTCGTATACACCTCTGTGAATATACGTGGGGCACGCGGTCACGCAGTTCCCCTCCCTAGCCCTGACACCAAGCAGAATCTCTTATCCAAATGTCACCCCCCCCCCCATCCAAACCCTGCCCCTTATCTAATCTATAGGCCATTGTCAATCCATGGCTGGATGAAGGTCTCCACGCGCCGTGTGAGTCGTGAGGGTTGTTTGACCACACTTTAGCAAGCTGGTCAGTGCTGGTGGAAGGAGAGCCAAGAACCAACCGGTTTAGATATCACTTGCCACCGATGTTAGCCATTGCCTGGAATTGAACTCAGGACGGAGTGATAGCGCAGTGCAGGGACCACTCCACTCTTCACCCTCACCAACGCTAACCCCGACCTTCATTGCAATCCTAGCTCCTCTAATCAATAACTATCCCAAACCTAACACAAATATTATCCCCCCAATCAATTCCTCGTTCTCACCTCAAACCCCTGACACCAACCCTCATCCAAACTACATCATCCATTAACACCTTGCTCAAACATGGATATTAAACTTTAACACGTAATGTGAACCTCAATTTTAAAAACACTAAAACCCCAAAACTCCCCAACCACAATCCAAACCCCAGCACCAACCCAAACTCTCCCTAACCCCAACCCAGTGGCATAGTTAGAGTGTGTAGCTGCTGAGATTGCACCGGGGGCTAGGTGCCAGTCTACAGCGAGGGCCCCAAATGTATTCCTTGCAACCGGGGGGGGGGGGGGGCTCTTGTGAACCACGCTACGCTTCCTGGCACAACACCAAACCAATCCCTTCCTAATGCTAACCCCAAACCTTCCTTCACCTAACCCAAACAACCTCACCCAAACTATAACCACAGGACAAAACCTCGCCTGGGATTCGAACCTTCGCCAAAAATTGGGTTCCATTCCCGCTCACGGCCAACATCAGTGACGAGTATCTGAACCGGTCCTGGGCCTTCCCTAGGTCGACTCGGCCTCAAAACGAGTACCCAGTGCGCTGTGTAAACATCGCCACTAGGGAGACAAAGTCGGCCGGGCGTGGTGCTGGCCACCCACCCCCTCCGTGTGCCGTGCTGACCTTCATAGGTGCTGCTCGCTAACAGAACTTACCCCTACAGTATGTTAAGGCTATACGGTGGGGGGGGGGGGGGGGGGGGGGCTGTCTTATTTGTTGTATAACAGGCACACACACACACGCATGCGACAGGCTAAGCACGCGGTGCGCGTGGACCCTCCCCCCCCACCGCGTGCGCTCCACGCGAGGGGTGGGGGGGGGTCTACGCGCACCGCGTAGACCCCCCCCCCACCACCGCGTGCGCTCCACGCGGGGGGTGGGGGGGGGGTCTACGCGCACCGCGTAGACCCCCCCCCCCCCACCACCGCGTGCGCTCCACGCGGGGGGGGGGGGGGCGCGCATGACCGCGCACGCCGCCTGCGACTCGGGGCACGAATTGCGACACGCGCCGTCGCATCACACAAGGGTACAGCAAGACGAAGATGCCCCCCCCCCCCCCGTGGGGCATGGGGGAGGCGCAATTGCTTTTCGTCAACAGATATTTTTAAAAGGCACGCGCCACGTGGTGGTGCCACTTGCGCCTCGCAGCGCCGACGTTGACGCAACGTACCAGGTACCCATTTGAGGCCGAGTCGACCGAAGAGGGTCCCAATCCCCCCCGAGACCGGTTCGCACACTCGCCGCCCTCGCCGCTGTTGGCCGGCATCGGAGCGCGGTGTGCTAACCGCTGCGCCACCGCTCCCTTAAAAAACCCACAACAGCCGCTCAGCCCACCGCACGAACCCCACACCCCGCCGTCATCCCACACGACGTAACCACAATAGACAAAGGACCCCCCCCCGTGTAGCCTTAACAGACTGTAGGGGCAAGTGCTGTTAGCGAGCACCTATGAAGGCTGGAACAATACACGAGGGGGTGGGTGGGCAGCGCCACGTCCGGCCGCCTTTGTCTCCCCAGTGGCGATGTTGACTCCACACCGAACCGCGTACTCATTTAAGGCTGGGTCGACCTAGGCGAGGCCCAGGACCGGTTTAGATAATTGTCACTGGTGTTGATTGTGAGCGGGAATTGAACTCGGGTCGCCGGGTTTGTAGCGCCGTGCGCTAACCACTACAACTACCACTCCCCGCACACACACACACCACTACACGCACCCACACACACACACCACCGTATCACAACCCTCCCATCTCACACACCATACACAGCACGTACCACGCCAACACGTACACACACTATACAAACCACGCACCAAAAACACACCCCCCCACACACCCACCCCCCCACACACACACCCCCCTCCCCACACCCCCCCACACACACACCATACACGCCACGCGAGCTCTCGAGCGACGGATGAATGGGGATGCACGAGGCAGCGACGTTGATCGCGACGCGTGGGGGATTGTGCGCGAGGTCTCCTCGCTTCACAAGGCACAGAGAGGACCCCCCCCCCCCCCACGCAGCCACACCGACAGCGTTACGCAGTGAACCCTGCACGAGCACTCGCCATATAGAGCGCGTCGCTGTAGGAACAATAGCCCACATCCCCCCAGACCAGTAAAGCCATGCCGCTAGCATCACACAGCAATGCACAGCCAGTCCCGACAGAATTGTAGAGCACCGCACAAGCATCCCGATAACATCACCTTCTTAATGGCTCTCCGACAGCCGTAACGATTTAGGAATACACAGCACCAATAAGCATGTGCGGCATTGCACAACCACATCGCCACACAGCCGTAACAAAAGCCTTATTCGGCCACGCAGTCATCCTTCCAGCATCACACAGCCAAACCACTCGTGTCTTCAAGTAGAACCGCCTCCATGCCCCAACGCCTCTTCTCGTATTACACACCTGCCCACCCCAACCGCATCGCACCGCACGCGCCGTCCACGCTGCGGGTTCCGTGATGGTTCCGTTGAAGGTCCTTGGCCCCCATCCACCGTTTCACTCATTTCAACCTCCCACCTACTCGGCCATGCACTCGTCTACCCACCCACCAATTCACTCACTCACCGACGCACCCGACTATCAACGCACGCACACATTTCACTCACCTGCTCACCACCCATCACCCCTCGTCCACCTACTCGCTCACTAAAAACACACACCCACATCAACCCCCGCTCACCCACCTACCACCCCACTCCATCCATCTACTCACCAGTTTCTCCCTCTGCTTCTCCAGGTAGCCCTCTAAATGGAGATCCGGCAGGGAGAGGATGTCAGTCATGGTGCACGGTGCGGTCGGTCTCTGTCCTTGCTTTGCTCGAGTCGCAGGACGCCGAGGTTATCCGAGAGCGAGGGAGCGAGCGTCACGGCCCGATATCGAATACCCCCCTCCCTATACAGTACGAGAGTGTGTCTTCTTCTCCTCCTCTCTATATATATCGGCGCGTGGGGCACAGTGGCTCTGGTTTCACTCGCAGGCGTCGCACCTCGCCTCTTGCTCTTCCGTTCCACCTCGCGCGTCTCCTCCTCCGCCTTCTGCTTCTTCCTCGCTTCTTCCTCGCCCCTTCCTCTCAAGACGAAACGACGCCGAACTGAAACCCGAGCGTCGTCGGGAGTTGCTCACCACCACCACCACCACCAAAGCAGCCCGATGATCAGAGCGAGATCGCTGTTGTCAGCCGAACCCTCGTCCTCCGCAGCGCGTACGCGCGAGCGTCGATATTATTACTAACCACGTCCGTCCGTTCACACTCCCCCCTCCACCGCCGGTTCGGATTGACGACCTCGGTGTCGCCTCAACTGTGAGCGCTGTGGGGCAGCGGCAAGCGCTTTTGTGTCATCGCTCCTCCCCCCAACTCCCCCTTTCAATCCCCCCCCCCACCCCCAATCCTCCAGCTCCCCCATCACCAATTCGCCCCCAATCGCCTCTCTTCCCCTCCCGTACCCCTCCTCACCCCCTCCACCCCTCCTCACCCACCCACCCCGATGCATCCACGGACAGACGCCATAATGAGCAAATTGCTGCTCGGCTCGGAGATCCAGTCGTGCCGGTTTTTCTTGCATGAAGTCATATCGGTGACGACTCTCGCCCTCGTCGCTCTGGGCGTCGCACAACTAAATCCCTCGAGTTATCGCTGCTTGGTCTTGTGAATATGATCACGCGTCCCGATCTCTCGTGAAACAAAGCGGAGGCGATCCTCGGGGGGGCGGGGTAGAGGAGGAGGAGGGGGGGCTGTCACGAGGTAATGTCACGGTGTCAGTATGAATTGTCGTTCAATCAGAAATAAACCAATTACCTTCGTGCGCACATGTTCGTTTTTGTTTCATGACGATCTGCATTTTGTTTCGGAATATGCTCGACAGCAAGAGTCGCGATTTCAGGAGGGGTTTCTTTAAAAAATCTTTATCTCTCTCTATCTTTTGGACGCTGCCAAAGTGGTGGCCATGGTGAGCCGGCCGGGTTAGACTCCAGCTGCCGGCGAATAGAACGGGGCCAAGTTTCTTAAATCCACCCACCGACCCCCACCCCATGTCCTCCACCCAGAAGTCGAAATGTTTTACGGGAGTCTTTGGTTCTTTCGGTAAAGTCACGTAGGTATAAAATAAACTAAATTAAATCACGACGTTTCGGGCGCAACACAAGCGTCCGTCATCAGGTGGGACAACCACAGCAAGAAACCATTGCTGAAGTTTCTTGCTGTGGCTGTCTCACCTGATGACGGACGCTTGTGTTGCGCCCGAAACGTGGTGATTTGATTTATTTTATACCTACGTGACTTTACCGAAAGAACCAAAGAGTATGAATCCCTGCAGTCACGAAAATTTCAAATCTAGATTGGGTTTACCGGAGTTCATCAAACGTCAGGTCGCCTGCGATGGGGCACCACGTGGTTGACTCCCACCTCTTCCGAGACGTCCGGCCAGCGTGGAAGAGTAGGCCAAAATACCCTCTGAGCAGGCCTCTCCACATCTCGCTCGATCACGTGAGCAGTGGCGCGAGCAAGCGCTTACAGGGCTGCACATTTGCCTGTTTAAATTAAAACATTTATACCAAAAATAGAGACCAGCGTGCGTTTCTCGTCTGCCAATTAAACGTGATTTGCGGTCTCGAAGTCCCAGCAGCACCGCAACGTGGATACACGCCACATGGGGAGGGTGTGGGGGAGGGTGTGGGGGGGATGCTTTGCTCGGTTCGCAAACGCGACAGAGAAGAAGGGTGTGAGTGTGGCGGCGTCTATTTCGATTTAAAGCTTTCATGACTGCAGGGATTCATCTTCTTGGTTCTTTCGGTAAAGTCACGTAGAAGGGAAGTAATAAAATAATAAAAATAAAACATAATAAAATAATTCTCACGACCTTTCGGCCACAAAGCAAGCAGCCGTCCTCAGGTAAAGAATGAAACACCACCAAGCTTGGAGCGTATATTTAAGCCAGCACACCATACATGACTTTACCGAAAGAACCAAGAAGGCGTCTATTTCATTTCGCACGTGCGCGCACCACGCACGTGCGCGCACCACGCACGATCAGTGAACTTTGTTCGCGCGCGAAACGTATCGGGATTTTTTTTGGTTTAAGAAAAAAAAACCCTCGCCCATTATCAAATGTTGTTGGCCGAGTGTCGCTTTCTTCCCAAAGGTCCCGGGGGGGGGGGGCAGCGAAGTGGTGAGCGCACTGCGTTACCAAAATCCCCAGCTACGTTTGAGCGTAATTCCCGACCACGGCTACCATCAGTGGCATGGGAATTTGTGAACCGGTCCTGCGTGCACCCTCTCCCTCTCACCCCTACCCCCTTCCTCCTCCACCAACCCAGCATGTAGAAAGAGATAGATACAACATGCTTACATATATTCAATTTCAACTGCATCGTCTGAAGATCGAATCAAACCGGCGACCTGGAGTGCAAGTCCAGTTGCGCTATTACCACAACCACCACCACCACGGTAGCATCTACTTCTATACGTGTATGCTTTTAGACTTGAGAAGGGGGGTTACATTCGCGTGAGCTCTGATGACCACTGGTGGAGCCATAAACTGCGTTATGTAATGCTGCGTTACCACTCACGCACATGCCACGCATTCCTCAACACTCAAGTTCGTCTGTGTGTGTCTGTGTGTCTACGCACTGTGCTGCAGTTTCGCCCACCGTGAAAGGTTGAGCGGCGTGCGATTAAGGCACCACGGAAGACGCCAAAGTCCAGAATAAAAATAAAAACCTCATTCTAGACCCAACCATCGCACACCACCGGGCTTTGCCATTCCTCGAAGACGCCGGGAGAACCGTCGAACGCATCAGAACATCATTGAACGGGCCGATGCGCGCGTCTTCATGAATGGAAAATGAAAGAGAGGCCGGAGTAGCGAAATTGTGGCCATGCGACCAAATATATGGACCAGAGAGTAATCCCACAGACACGTATAGAGAGAGCTACAAAGCGATACATTAGTTGGACATGAGCATTTAGCTCATGCACATATTTCCATACGGAAGAATATAACTCCGGAATGCACCCGATCTTGTCAGATGTCAAAAGCTATTAAAGATTTTGCATTTTACCACAAATCATGGCTCAACTAAGTGGTTTATCATGTGGAAATGTAGAGTTGATAAATACTCTAAACGCGTGTTTCTAAATGTGGAAGAAAAACCCGTGACCACGAGGAGAGAGCATGCAAATTTAAAATACACAGCAGGCGTAAGGATGGGAGAATCGAACCAATGACCTGCTGTATACCAGGCGAGGTAGTTAACATCTCGCCACCGAACTACCAGGCGAGGTAGTTAGCTAAGCAAGGGGTGAGCCCTGTATAGTGTTAGCACAGATGGGTGATCATCTTAGGTATTGTAGGTTGCTGCTGGAACTACGTTGGTATAGCAGAGGGCAGTGTAACAACATGTTGTTGTACTGCACACCTATGATCTTTGCCTTCATCATCCGGCACCAACAACTCAACCTGCGTGGACAAGTACGATCCAATAACTCTCACGATCCGCACGACGCGAGGAGGCCCTCATCCAGCAGTGGATTAACAAAGGGCTGGATCAAAGACAAAGACCCCCCGTATAACCATAACAGATTGTTGGGGCAAGTGCTCATAGCGAGCACCTATGAAGGCTGGAACGGTACACGAGGGGGGTCGGTGACCGGCACCACTCCCGGTCGCCTTTGGCTCCCTAGTGGCGATGTCTACACACCGTACCAGGTACTCATTTGAGGCTGAGTCGACCTAGGGTAAATTATTACACACATGCTTGTTGGAAAACATTGATACGCCGTTTGGCCGCTGGCCTTGTGGACTTGCATTTCGAGCTGGGATATGTGATTAGTTAAGAAATTGATTGCCCTACCGATTATCGGTTCGATATCCCGACTAATCGGAAAGCACGAAATAATTGTAACACGTCTTACCCCCCGTTCCTACGGGTGCTGCGGGACGGGAGGTGATTGGCTGGGCTCAATGGCGGAGTCAGGATTTTCAGGTAGAGGGGGCAACCCCTCCAGTAATGAAAATTATAGAGGAGTTGTTAGTGAGTAAGGAGTTGTCCCTTCGCTTTTTATTCGACGCGTGTGCGGCGATGGCGCAGCCATCGATCGAGGGTCGAATTCGAACCGCGTTGTGTGATCGGCATCGCGCTCGCTGAAGGTGAATGTCTTCAGGCAAGTCGTGGACTGTATACGCAACTGCGCACAATTATGTGAGTCACTTATAACTGCTTTGCCGTTACTTATTGCCAATTGTGGACTCAGACTATTGTCCGATCATCTCATAGAGTCCCTGACACGTAATAATATGCTACACAGTGGCAGTGGGGGTCGCAAAATGCCGATGTATTACTAATAAACCCCAATGATCCGATCGAAATTAGAGATTTCGATCGGATCATTGGGGGAGGGGAGGGGGCACGTGCCACCCCACCCCCCCCACTGGCTCCGCCAGTGGCTGGGCTTTGTGACGTCATTGACACGATCATCAACTGCGTGACGCTGTTGCGTGGCACGATGTGGAGGGCGGTGTCGTTATTTTTTAAATGGGTTCCAGCGATCGATTTACAATGTTTCATTTCAATTAATTAACTTAATCGACCAATAGTCCCAGGTCAAATCTCAGAATAACTCAATATTATTATTATATGTTCTATGAAGAAGGGTAATTGCTAGAAACGTTACTCATTAAATATTTTTTTAATGCCACAATGTTCTTCACGAATGTGTTGATCTTTGTTATTTGTGCACCACTGCCAATGCAGCAGCGCTATAATCTGTCGAACATAATTGTTTTGGTCTTAAAGCAAAGCCTAATTGATGCATCTATACCGAGGTCTGTCCGTCTCTCAGCAGCCACTGGCCGAAGATGATGATCACACGTGCGGTGTCTGGGAACTGCGGGTGAAGCTAATTGGAGGGGGTCACACGTAGGCACCACGTGCCACGCGACGAGAGGTGATTTGCGCGCGGGCTGGCGTCGAGTCGCGCACCGCTGCTGCGTGCTGCGTGCAACGAGGGCTATTTAAGGATAATCTCACACCGAAACAAAACTAAAACACCTACATCGAATTGGTCCCTCCGCGATGGCCTTTCGAGGAGCGTGTGTGTGTTTGTGGGAGCGGTGGTGTAGCGGTTAGCGCGCTGCACTCCTCAACCAAGCCACCCCGAGTTCGATTCCCTGCTCACGGCCAACACCGGTGACGATTATCGGAACCAGTCCTGGGCGTGCCCTTAAATCGACTTCGCTTCAAATGAGTGCACGGTGCGATGTGTAAACATCGCCACTCGGGAGACAAAGGCAGCCGGGCGTGATGCTAACCGTGCACCCCCCCCCCCTCGTGCGTCGTGTCGGCCTTCATAGGTGCTGAATAAAGGCAATTGGCCCAATAGTCTATCAAGGATATCAGGAGGGTAGTGGTGGGGTGGGGGCGATCTTTGTCTTTGCGAAGATCGGTTGGGGGTGCGGGACTTGTGAATCCAGCCTCTTAGAGGCGATATCAATCACACCGCATCAACCGCAGCCGTAAACATAACCACAACGTAACCACACCGCAACCACCAACTTGCACCGCGACTAAATAACCCCATTTAAAAACCATAACGACAGCCAGCAAGCAAGCAAGCAGCAGGACATCCCGACGCGGAGATAGACGTTGCCAGCGCGCAGTGATTTGGCGCTCATCGTTTAAGACGAGACGCATTCTCCCGGGGGCAGGGTACCGTACGCATTGTGCGACGACAGAAGGGCTCCCAAAAGCCAGACTTCACAGAACTGCATGTGAGATGCCTTCGAGTGACCTTTTAATACGCACGCACGTACGTACGCTTGAATCGAGTGACTCGTGTGACTCACTGCCACCCCTCCCCTCCTCCTCCGGGTCGATGTTGTGAGTCGATTATCTTTCGTGACTCATTATTGGAAACCTCCGACGTCTCGTTTGTGTCGTTTCTCGATTAATTTCGGTCTCCTTTGTACATCTTTGTTCACGACCATTAGTCGAACATCATAATGTAACCTTTTGCATGCTCTTCTCACACGCGTGATAGCGTGGGAGTCTTAAGAATCGACGTTTAACAGTTATATACGATTTAAACGTATAACGCGCACAGAGCTGCGGTCGTACTTAGAGGCTGTGCGATTCCAAGTGTTATTGTACATTTCCACTCGGACAGACTGATGACAGTCTCTCTATAAGTTAAATAAGCAAAATGTACCCGCACAGCGTCCTGACATGCGGTTCCACGTAGTATATTCTAAACACAGCCACATGGTTCCGTACGGTAGAGACGCACATTTAGGTTGTGTAACATAACTACGCTGCTCACGAGACGCCATGCAAGTCCACATTTCAGGACATTGACTCACACAGACTCGGACTCACAGATTCAGACTCACCGACTTGGCCGAGAAAATAAATTTCCCAACATTTTCCTGTACAGCGTGTTGATGAGATCGCAATCGGACGCTTTGTAAACCAACATAGTATTGCATTGAATAGCAAGACAACACCCAATCGGGACATCTGAATACTGCATTTTTAAAATCCACATCGGCATTGTGCTGTGCACTGCGTTCATGGGGAAAAAAAACCCTTTATATTTCGAGCGACCAAGTGCAACGAGAAACGAATCCCTCAATTTTTTTTTCGATTTAAAGCTTTCGTGACTGCAGGGATTCATCTTCTTGTTTCTTTCGGTAAAGTCACGTAGAAGGGAAGTAATAAAATAATAAAAATAAAACATAATAAAACAATTCTCACGACGTTTCGGCTACAACGCAAGCAGCCGTCTTCAGACGGCTGCTTGCGTTGTAGCCGAAACGTCGTGAGAATTGTTTTATTATGTTTTATTTTTATTATTTTATTACTTCCCTTCTACGTGACTTTACCGAAAGAAACAAGAAGATGAATCCCTCAATGTTACTCCTCCCCGGTCCCCACGTGAACCAACACCGTGTCGCAGAGACGGATAATAATAATAATCCGGGTTGTAATAATTCTAAGAATAATCCGCCTCCAATGGTGCGTGTGCACGGTGAGCGCGTGGAGTTCACGGCGGGACGGCCGCTGTAACCACACAGCGGGGCTCATCAATCACCGACGCCGCCGATGAGTTCATTTATCCTGCCGAGTCCGGAGATATCCAGCTCCTTACACAATGACACACACGCACAATTATTCGTGCAGGAAACCGAGCAGACGGTGCGTAAACTAGACAGCGCGCCCTGGGTCTGAGATGCGTATCTGCGGTGACACACCCGGATCGCGCCCTCGACGGATGTCCGTGGAGGTGTCATGGGAGGCGGTGGCGTTCTGCGCCAAGAACCCGGCCACCCGAGTTCGATGCCCGATCACGTTCGACATCAGTGACGATATGAGATGATTATATTAGCCGACGATTGTGCAATACGCGTGTGCTTGTATCAGCATGTGTGATATTCCAGACTCCCCAGTATGTGCACGTGTGTGTGTGTGGGAAGCGGTATTGTAGCGGTTAGTGCGCTGCGCTAAAACCCCAGCGACCCGAGTTCGATTCCCACTCACGCCCAACATCAGTGACGATTACCTGAAACGGTCCTGGACCTCCCCTAGGTGGACTCAACCTCAAAAGAGTACCTGGTGCGGGTGTGTAAAATCATCTCCACTGGGGGAGACAAAGACGGTCGGGTGTGGTGCTGGCCACCCACCCTTTCGTGTACCGTACCGGCCTTCATAGATGCTCGCATAATGCACTTGCTCCAAAAGTTTGTACCGTGGGTATTTTATTTTTTCTCTGTAATGCATTTCTGTGCCATGTAATTTATCAAATACGTCAGTGATCGTGGCCTTCCATTTAGCGCTATGACTCAAGAGCTTTGCATCAGATATTCCCAGTCGCATCCAATAGTTCAAATGGATTCTTGACTTAATTCGCTGCCTTCCCCCGCCATCTTCTAACAAACAATTTCAATCATTCGACCCATAACACATGGACCTGTCCCACAACTACCTGCCAGCAAGCCTCAGGCATTTCTCATGGCCTCAAAGTGTACCTCGCAGTGGTCCGTGCACTGTGAACCCACAGATGCAGAGTTCAATTCCTGGCCATGGCTAACATCAGAACCTGGCCTCCCCGAGGACGGCTCAGCCTTAAATGAACATCTGCTACATTGTGTAAACGTCGGTAATGGAGCGACAAGGTGATTCTGGCCAGTCCGTCATAATTGTCGCTCTAAGAGGCCCTTTGCAGTGAGATGTGAGCAGGCAGACTAACAACCAGAAAGGGGGACCATATATATACAAAGTTAAAAATAATCGTACCCACTTAGTGCAGTGAAGATGCGTGCAATTATTTTGGTAAATATTTCGTATGCGGGCCCAGTCAGAAGTGGTAAGTCTCATCTGGCCGCGGGGCCGTATGAAATAGTCGCGGGCAGCTTCCGGCCCAAGGACTGTGGGTTCCCCCACCCCTCTTTCAACAGCGATCGCGTCTTCGTAGAATGGGGAGGAGCTCGCTTAATCACCGAGTGAGGGATTGCGAGATCAGGAGATGAACCAGCGACCTCTGTGACTCACTGCAGACGATGTCAGTCACGCCACAACAAAGAGACGACTCCACGACTCCCGGACTCGGTTAGGTTTTCTTCGGGTGTCATTCACGCATAAACAAATGGTCGAGATTGCGTTGGCAATAGTTTTTGCATATGTGCATGCACATACACCTTTTGTCAATCCACTGCCAGACAGGGCACTCTCCAGAGCGTGCGGCTCGTGCGGGTTATTTGACCGTACTTCACCGCACTTGCCATGGGTTGGCGGTGCAGAGGGCGGCGCGGGCATCAATGTGGCAGCATCGAAATACAGTACAACCCCCGTGAGCCGCGCAGCCTGGGGAGGACCTCATCCAGCAGTGGATACACAAAAGGGCTTGCACATGTACCAGCCACACACACACACTCCGCTCCTGTCGCGCACGTTGAACATCTCCTTTCAAGGCATGTGGGAATCAATGTAAACATTCGAGAGCAAGGGCCCAGAGAGCCATGTTTGCCAAGGGGACCCATAAAGGACGTTGAGGGAGGGGGGGGTCACAGTATATGATTTGCATCACTGCTTAATCATGGGATGGGGAGGCGCAGATCAGATGCCCCCTCCCCCCGGAGCAGTCCGCATGTTCCCACGTCCATGCTCGTGTGATGCGGGGGTTGTGAATAAAATAGACGGGAGTCACGAACAAAAGAAGAGACGTTTTTTGTATTTTTGCTCACTTCTTCGAGACATCGCAGGGCACGTCTCACCCGGGTGTGCGGTGGGCTGCTCGCGCGACAGGGGGGGCGTAATCAAGACAGCGTTCGCCAAATAAACGAGAAGAGGGAAAGACAAAATCAAGCCCAAGTCAATACCAGCGATCTGCATAAATAAACGGCCTACATTCACAAAGGTGCAATTTCAGAACTGCTCGAGGTGAGACGATTCACAGCAACTTAACAGCGTCCGGTGGCTGTGACCAGGAGAACGTTTGTTATGTACAGACAGAAGGCGCGAGAGAGCGACGTGAAATTACAGCAAACATTCTCAAGGTTTCCACATTTGATTTAAAAGCAATCAAATATGCCCCCCCCCCCCGCCCGCCAATCCCAGCATTCCATCTTCAAATGGTGAGAATTCTAAGCATAGAAAAAGCCACACGTATGGGAAAATAAGAATTTATCTTTAAAACCTAGCGCACATGTTAGCACCTCGCGCTCCCTTTCAATGGTTGTGCGCCGTACAGATTGCTTCGCTCCTCCAATATACCTATTTCCACTGGCCCATCCGAGCCGTGCCAGCGAGGGGGCCTTCGCGGTACAAGTAGTTTCCATTGGGCGACTTGCCACGCCGAACCCAGGGGCTAAGCCATGAAGCTGACCTCACAACTATTTCTCAATCTGGATCCCATCTGCATCTGGCTCGAGGGCCAAGACTGGCCAGGGGCAGTGTCAATCATTTAATTCACTGCGTGCGACATCAGTTAGTAAATTACTGGAACACAGCATCGCCACGTCACATATGCACACCGCTTGACTCGTTCATCGTGTGTTAACGTCAGCGGTCCGGCTTGTGTGCTGCTGTAGAAAAAACCTGGCGCATCCTGGGGCCGGCTCGGACATGGCTCGGTTGTACAGTGGAAAAAAAAAACTGGTATAGGTAACTGAATGCCATAGATCCTGGAAAATCTATACACGTACACTCAATATGTACAGACATCTCATTATGGCACCCGGGACTAATAGAACATTATACAGAAATTGGAGGGCAGTGTTTTTTTTTTTTAAAGAGACGTTGTAAAATTCGCACGCCCATGCGCTCGGCATAAAATAAATGGGAAAATTATTTGGTTACTGCCGGACAGGTGTGTTAAGAGGACTGATGATAACATGCATATTAACCTTGCTAAATAAAATTCTCAGCTTTACCCACCCACTCCCTACCACCACAAATTAACAGGGGTCCATCCATCGTGACCGGTTTGCATGGCGTGTTATTGTTAAAGTGTTTGCGAGATTAGCAAGCGGCCGGTTCCCGGGGGGTGGGGGGCGATATTCAGGCAATTTTAGCACTCAGGATTTAGTCTGCCTACATTTACGCGGGTAATCCAGTTCGCGGAGGGGTACCTTCACCGACTTAAATATGGCTGATGATCGTCGGTGCGTTGTGCACCTTGTGTTGTATTCAGGCTGCACTCGGCAAAAGTGAATGCGCGTTTCTCGCATTCGGAAAAAAAAACGCCGAGCCCTTCAGCGGAGTTGTGAACACCGGGGTATGTTTTTGTGCGCAACAGACAAAAAAGACTGCCGGGTGATCCTGACCTGGGCTTGGGCAGGGCTTGGCACAGCAATGGGAGTGTCTGCTGCATGCAGATATCTGTGTTTACACCAGAGCATCGGTTCACATCAGACCTGGATAGAACTTAACTGCTTTGGATCAGAGTCCAACTGGATCCTGTTGACAAGAACTACACAAAGGTCTTGATTAAGTCCGACCTCTGAAGTCGCCACTGGCGACGCCCAGCCGAACTTCTTTTATGTTTATTACTGCGCGAGTTACAAACTTGACAACAAGCCCGTGTTCGTTTCTCTTTAAACTACCTCCCGTTGTGTATGCATGTCACGATGCATCTCTTTATCGAAAGCAATCGATTCTTAGGCTCGCGACACGTGTGTAGAATCGCGTGCATAAGAATCGTTTGTTGACTACTGGTACAAGTTATGCGGGATTGGTTCACGTGACACGAGCAGCCACCAGAGTACGGTTGTCCAAACTACAGCCCACGGGCTAAAATCGGTCATTTAACATGGCTTGCTGTGGCCTTAACGTGAAATTAATACTAGAAACATTTTGAGAAATAATTAAGTGAACTGTCTTGGTCAGCATGTTGGATCTGTGGCTATGGGGTGGTGGATGGTTGCGGGTCTGGTCATGGGGAGTGAAAACATAAGTATCAATATATTCCTCTCCAATCTCTCTCCTTTCTATTCTCACATCTTCTCTGAAGGTATCTCTTTTCCTATCTCAAATCTATTCAGAGTACATCTCTCATATATCTCCCTTATGGACCTCTGCTCAATGTCTCATATCGCTGTTTTATCTCTGCTGAATACACATCTATATTCTACCACTCATGAAGACATATCTCCCTTCTCATGAATACAAATCATTTCCCTACCTCTCCTGAACAAATACATCTCTCCCATCTTCCTCACATCTCCTGTGAATACTTCTCTCTCCTATCAGCCTGTCTCAAAATATATCTGATCTCATGTTTGTGTTTGTTTAGTTTATGTCTGTGGCCTACAGCCCTCAGCAATGTCAGTCAATCCGGCCCTAAATGCACAAAAGCCGGGACACCCTTGCACTCGAGGCTCGACATTCATAAGCGGCAAAAATTCAATAATCGAGTCGTTAAACGAGCCACAACCCTGATTCGCGACCATTCATCAAATCGCGATGGAGTTGAATCATTGCATGAACAAGCCCCTTTTCCTTAAGCTTTCTTCACAGGACTAATGTTTTGTGTCTGTGCGATCACACCAAACCAACTTGTGCAAGCGCAACATTTGTTTTCGAGTCTTGGCTGTGGACTGCAACGTCATGTGTGTGTCTGCTGTGGCAAGCGTGCTAGGCCAGCCGGCTGGCCGGCCAATCGGGCGGTCGGCCAGCTGCCCAGCCGGTCGGCCGGTGGAGGGTTTGTTGGAATTCGCTCGCCAGGAAAACAGACGAGGGCACCCCCCCCCCTCACTCGCGTGAAGGCTGGGGGGCATCACCGCACCCGCGTCAGTGCCTTGTAGATCGTGATGCCCAGCACGGTGATGATGGTGGCGCCCAAGCTCACGCGCAGCCAGAACGAAGAGCTCTTGAGGTCAGAATCGTTCAGGTGTCTGTGGGGGGTGGGTGGGGGTAGGAAGGGAGGGGGGGGTTGGGCAGGGGGGTGGGAATCAAAGCGTTAAAATGTTTCTTTAATCGAGCAAAGTTGTAAAAACTTAATAAGATGATGTTTCCGAGCGGAGAAGTGCGAGGGAAGAAGCAGAAAGAGAAGTGTTGTAACCTGCAGTGTGGCGAGTGAGTGAGTGGGTGACTGGGCAAGTGAGTGAGTGTGTGGTGACCATAATTATGGTAGTTGGGACACAGCATGGTTGACAAAACAGTCTAGTTGACCCTACTCCATATGGGTGGAAGAATTAGGAATCTAGTCTGCCAGGGCAGGCTCGTGCTGGTTTTCAATGCAGCACCAACATGTTGAAGCCCGACAGCTCGATGCCTTCAACCTCGTGACCTCATCCCCTACCTATTACACCTTTAGTCGAGATGTTTGCTGCTGCTGGTCGCTTGGCGTTTTGGGCCTGCGCTTAACAACTGCGACTTTAAGAAGGTTAATTAATCAGGTGCACCATGCTATTGGAGTGAACTCTTGATTATTCACGCGTGGATTATATGGTTAAAATACCTTCAAGTGCACCCGGTTTAATTATTAGTTGCTCCTTGAGTGACCCCGCTACCCATTCAACTATAAACACGTCGCCCAAGTAAACCAATCACTTTAAGAAACAACATAAAGAGAGGACATGCTCTACACCCACGCGACATAGGAAATCAATAAAAGCAAGATACACGTGCTATAGTCTAATAAATGTTTTGCACGATCCAAATTTTTTTTTTATCCAGGCCACTAATCCCCTCCCCCATTACCCTGCAGAATATAATCAAGAGCTGACTGTAAATGTAATTTCACACTTCATTAAATATTTTAGCACCGAGGGGCCCAGTAGAACCCTATGCAATCGCGCGCAATGATTTTTAGAGGTAGGGATATCAGCTGGACGCAGTTGTCGTTCTCAAGAGGGTTTAGCTAAATAAATAATTTACCCACATAATAAATAACTAAGCGGGGGAACACACAGGGACCGACCGACCTTACAAGACGGCGCTCCAGCGGGCAGCCATTGAGCACGAGTCAGCAGAATTACACAGGAACCAGGGGACCGCCCGTCAATCAAAGCATTGACCAAAATCATTTTTACTCTCTACGGTGGGTTTGCCGACATCGCCTTGTTACATTACGTTGCGTGGGGTTCAGCGTATTGGAGAGGAATGGCAGAAGGTTGGAAAGATAAAGGACACATTTTATTGAATGACAACAGAGTAAACAACCCCGTCTGAGAGAGGCACGTGGAATGCTTCGCTGAAAACGTAGACACCCACATGATAGTTTGGAAGAGTGATGGATTAAGATGTGAATTAAAATCATAACAATATCCAGCCTGTCAATCCACTGCTGGTGCAGGTCTCCATCATAGGGGGGTTATTTGATCACACACTTCACCACATGAGTTGGTGTGGGTTAGTATGTATGTAGAACTTGTTTCGCACCGTACGTAGCCAACCATCCTAATAGGAGGTAAGGGGAATGGTGCTATGATTTGAGACTCCCCGAGTCTCGAAACATATATCCAGGAGAGCCCTGCATATTTTCAAAGTACAGGGGGGCAATGGTTGCCAATGCGCTTCCCAATTAAGTATTTTGCGAGTGATTAAAAACATTTCAGGCGTTTGGACCGTGAAATGACACTTTCTTCAAATGACATCACGGGGTATTTAACACCCACTGTGAATTGGGCGGCACGTACCAGGCCAGGTTCAGATATCGCTCGGCAGTTGCATTAGTCGTGGCCAGGAATGAAACTCAGGTGGCTGTGGTTATTAAGCAGTGCCCTTACCACTACGCGACCACTCCACAACATGTCACCTTTGATAAAAATGAATAAAAGGTCATTCATCAACTTGGTTTTAAATGAAATTACATATGCTGAAGCTGATTGTTTGTTTGTTGTGTAACTGGTAATGTAAGTTACATTCAAGAGGTTTCAAAAACGAGTAATTAGTCACGCTGACCTCATTCACGGGATTAGGATGAGTACCCGTATTCATACAGCACTCACGTAATATTGCATTTTATTAAACATTGAAATGAATGCAGGCCTCTGTGTACGTTGTAAATGCCGCTTGAAAAACTTCATTTCTGCCGTGTGTTTTGGTGTGTGGCTATAAGAAAAAAAACTGTTAAAGCCTCACACTCACATCATGTGTACGTGTACAGCCCCTTTTGCCAATCCACTGCTGGATGATGGCCTCATCACTCCGTTTAGGTTACAGGGGTTATTTAAGCGTACTTCACCACGATGGCAAGGGCAGACTGAAAGCGGGCAGCAGACGCGACAGCATAGAAATGGAGTACAACATTGTATTTTGCTGCACTGCCATATGCTGCCCACCGTGCAGCCCTGCAGCCTATAACTTCAAATCTAGATTATAACAACCTATTTGTGCATAGTGGTCACCCATCGAAGCACGTTCCAGACTCAACACCCTGCTTAACTTCCGAGCTCTCATGAGATCGGGTGCATCGAGGTAGATTTGATTACAGACCGGCCTTAATTTCAACCCCAAGTTGTCCGGGGCTGAGCTCCGGAAAATATTTCCACACCTGCGCATACCACATCCAACATACCCCTCTCTACATTGCTGTTGCAACCAGTTATGTGCCACCTCCCGGTCTACCAACACCCTGGAAAGTACTCTGAGAACTCAAGCTCCTGATTGAGGCATTCTGGCATATTGATGGTCATGATGTGCCGAGCCCGATGCCGCTGAGCGCTTGCAAAATTGATTTAATGAACCAATCCCCGACTGACGGGCAAAGTCACCCTTTGACTGTTGTTGTTTAGCACATCAAGCGCGGCGACACGAAAATACGAGCCCACAATGACTTATTGATGTTACTGACGCAGCACCTGCTGAGTGCACAAGGAGGGGACAGAGGAAAGGTGAGGATCAGCCCAAGCAGGCGGGGAAAAAAACAAAAACCCGAGACGCTGCAACTGCGGCAGCCGCACGGGCGCGGTGACACTGGCCGCACGGGTGCAGAGTCACGCGAAGATAAAAATACACGCGGCGGCGGGGAGCCATCGAAAGCTTCGGTCGCCAAAGAAGTGGAAAGCACGCGTCGTCTTGAGGCCCAGCCGTGAGACGGAATGTCAGTGATGGCCCACAAGTCGCCGAGCAGCAGCTGTGAAAGGCCGACCATACCCCGTCCCGTTTCAGATGGCACAGGCTAAGGCGAGCGCTCGTATGCCCACACGGTATCATAGACGACCCGCCTGGTCAACCCCGTCACTAAACACACAGTTGAATGTCAACTTACAAGTCCCCTTTGGTTTGATTTACTTCTGCTACATTATTTTTCTTGACGGTAGTTTTTTTTGCTTGTGTCATTTGGGTGACCCAAATCACTTTTGCAAAAACTGAGACTAACTTGGTCTCTTGATTTCTCACCTGGTTAAACAATTAAACTTGGCTTCAAACTTGACCCATTTCTTTTAAAGCCAGATAGGGATGGGGGGAAGCGGAGTGTCTGTAGAGTGTGTAGGCTACGTGTAATGCAACTGCACCAGGCCCCATGGGGCTGGAGGTACCCAGGCACAGGCCTACGAAGGGGGGCGGCGGACGGAGGGAGGGAGGAAAAAATTGGGACTGGTCAGGCCCCCATTTCATTCCATGTACCAGGGCGCATGCAAACCATGCACGTTACAGGTTGAGGGTGGTGGAAGTCGTAGTAGAGATCAATGTGTAGCTAAGAGTGTGGTGCGAGCAACGTGACATGAAAGAAGTGTCTAGAAGGTTTGTTCAAGCAGCATAGCGACACACCGCCGCGGAGGCCTCACAGGCTCTATCAGGATGCAGCAACGTGTCCGGGGGATTTCCCCTCCCACAATAACATCAACACACCTAAGCCGAAACTCACCCTTTACCTTTCAAAGAAGAGGGTCCTCCTTCCCCCCCCTATTTATTCACTGTAACCGGGCCAGGCAAATACTGACAGGAGTGATTATTAAGCTAAGCTGAAATTTACACAATTGCAAGACATTTCCAAAACACGGGACTTCGTCCTATTTTACAACAAGACGCAGTCCGTTTATGCAGCCAACCCGCCATTTACATGTTGCAATGGCACAATGTTTTTTTTTATCTAACACTTGCTATGGTCTTAATGAGATTCATTGGTATTTTACTTGTGAAATGTATCTACTGAATGGGAGATTCAGTATATTTAACGAGGACGTCATGCCAAAATGTTCGCTCTCAATTCTACATGCAAATGTGATTTTGCCCGAGCATAAACAACTTGTGAACGACCAGTCCTGACTCGCAGCACCCGACACTTGATGTTGTCATTCAAATGACTGCTCACACTTCGACACAAAGGAGATGTCATCAGTTCAAAGTGGTGCGACGTCTTAAACCGGTTTAAGCAACACCCTCCCCCTCCCCCCGTATTTCTTTTCACTTGGCAAAACTCACAAGAAGAACCACACTCCCCCCCCCCATGGCACTCGGAAAATAAAAAAAGCCTCTTACGAACACACACACGGTCAAACATTTTCAAGTACCAGTATACTACGCGAAACATTGAAACGTACGAAGGTGTGCGAGCGACGGCTGGTGCAGTGGTGGGTTTACAGGAAGCTTTTACGCCTGGCTCGAGAATGGTGATAAGAGAAAGTCTTCCGAGGACTTGCTCAGAAGAAACGAAATGGCTCCAAGCTACTTGGCCCAGTCAGCTGCTCGATTTCATGCGACAGACTCCTTCACGTCCTTAACTCCTCCTGCCTTGCTGCTGGCCATACCGCCAAGGTCTGTGCGTGCCAAAGCCAGCAAGAGTAGGCAATGAGTTTGAGAAGCAACGTGACATGACAGCCAAAGTAGGTGGGCGAAAATAAGTTATTTATAGACGCAGCAAAATAGGCGTCATATCATCATCGTCATAAGTCACATGTCTGTAGAATGGTATAAACTAATGGATCACATGTCAGATATGTTGTCG